GCTCTTTTTAAATTATTTTGTGATATTGCTGTTGAATTGAATTTTATGGTTTAAGAACATGATATTTAGTAAATAAAGGTAACACACAAAACGTTAAAGAGGCCGCTTTGGTCTAATATAAAATCTAAAAACTCTCAGATTTTTTTTTATTTTTATTTTGTTTCTTTGAATAATACAGGGCGATAATATTTGGTGGCAGCAATTTGAAAAGTGATACGCGGTTTATAGGGACTTGACGCAAAATGCTATTTTGAGATTAATACCCCGTTCGGGACTAACGTCCTTTTGGGGCTAATAAAAAATTAAACATATAATACAGATTATACGAAATAGTTGAATATTATACGAAACATAATACAAAACTTCTCAAATTACTTCATGAGAAAAATTACCGTTGCTAGACTTTAAACGTAAGATACAGAATGCTATATTCATGAGTAGCATATATATTGAATATCCTAAATTCAATAAACATGCTACTCATTAAATATATTTTACATTGCCCGTCATACAATATACTAAGTCAGTAATTCTGTATATATCGTATTATATAGTACTGGACTCAACGCGTACTACTTACAATTCTTTGTACTACTTACTCATTACTGCTGTCATTACTGTGTCATTATTAGCGAAGTCACTGTGTTTTGTTGCGGACACTATTACAGTTATTGTGTGCAGTAGTACTATATATAGTGCATATAGTACCATTCACTCTATTTCTTTTTATTACACATTAGCACACTAATCAGATCGATTGGTAAGCATGACACAAATCCCGCCATAGTGCCTCTGTTTATCCATTATATCTTTTAATTTCCTAAAGTTTCTTAAAGACATCTGGCTCCTTCATAAAGAATCACTTAAACGGATCATCAGTGTCTGGCAACCGCAAAAAATTTCAATAAAAATCTGCTAAGATTGCTCTTAATAAAGAAATACAAGAGTAAATAAAAAATTCAATCCTTTAACTTGACTCACTCGATAAAATCTTGATTTGTGACTCCAATGCAAGAGCTCAAATTTCAAAAGGGATTTCTTCTAATAATGTTTAATATATCCGCCAATCTAAAACAAGAGCTGAAATTTATTCACATAACAAAATGCTTTTGTAATTTGGGACTCTAATACAAGAGCTGAAATTTCAAAATGGAAACTGTGGGGAACGTTTAGCACTCCTAGTAATGTACCAGTTTAAGCAAAAATATATTTCCGAATAACGTTTCCTGCTCAAAATAAAAAACTGTATTTTAACCGTTAAGCGAGCTTTGATATTTTCTCCAGCCAGACCTAAGCAACAGTTTTTTTTTCGCATATTACTAAAAAGTGGATTGTTTCATCTTTTAAAAACTACATCAGATATGTATATATATATATATTAAAATGATTAATAAATTAAATACGTTCAAATTAATCAAAATGCTATAGCAATTAGACAAATGCAAATTAAACAACGTATTAAAGTTGCAACCAATTTAGTAGGAATAATAGAAAAATAAAGTATATTTTTACTTCCTTCTACGAAGTAAAGGAAGTTTTGTAATCGGGAAAAATTCCGGGTACTATATTTCAACGAAAATATCCATATTGGCCGCTATCGAACGCGATTTGACGATGTTTTTGCATGACATCTGTATTTAAGGACAGAATAAAAGACTCTTTTTGCCCAAACAAATTTTAAAACTGGTTTAAAAAGGATTCAGAAGAGATTTTTTCGTGGCAAATGTACGCACGTATGTATGTATTATCTCGCAGAACTCAAAAACAAGAAGCATGAGAGCGTTGAAATTTTGTATATGGCACTGCTATAACATTTAGTTGTGCTAAACCCTTTTTGGTCAATCGACCGAACCAAAAATATATATAGTATATATATACACCCACACTCTGTTACTCGGCTCTGTCTGCTCAGAATTTTTTATTCTTATATGTTGGCAATTTGTGTATTTTTGCTTCCTTGTACGAAGTAAGAAGAAGTATTGTAATCGCGAAAAGCTTCAGGCAGCATATTTCAACGAAAATATCCATTTTGACCGCTATCGAATGCAATTTAACGATGTTTTGCGTGATATCTGTACGTAAGGACAGAATAAATACTCTTTTCCTTCAAAAAAATTATAAAACTGCTTTAGAATTAATTCTGAAGAGAATTTTTCGTGGCGTCTGTACGAACGTATGTACGTACGTGCGTACGTACGTACGTATCTCGCATAACTCAAAAACGAGTAGCCTCAGAACGTTGAAATTTTGTATATAGGACTGCTATAACATGTAGATGTGCACCTCGTATTTTGGTTGCAATCGGCCGCACCAAACGTATATAAATATATTTATATATATATCCACTCTGTTACCCGGCTCAGTGATCTCAGTTTCTTTACTCTTATATGTTTGTAAATTGTACATTTTTTGCTTTAAAAATGATTGTATTATGTTCTTCCGGTTAAGGTTTTTATGCCTTTAGTAAATCTATATGCAATATTTTTGGAATTATCAACAATTTTAAAGTTGTCTAAGTGCCGCTAAGCCTTTTTTAATGGCGGCCATTGATGTTTACATTTGAAACAGGAGACTAGTGGATTTGTTGCCAATCTAGAGAAACTTAGCTTCGCAACAACAAAGATAACGCATGCATTTATTATTGCCAATTAAATCATGCTTAATTCTTTCTGGAATTTTTTCGAGGAAATAAGTGTTTAAGATTTACTTCGTAATTTTTAATATAGATATTTTGAGTTTTTTATGTATTTTTGCCTTCTCGCGAAGTGAGAACTGAATTAATTAAATGAGAAATACTCAATCGTCTGTGAAAAACTGTTTCTTTTTTGTTTTGTTTGAGTAATTTCTTTTATACATCATTTTAGCTTTATTATAGTATTTGAATAGAACATGTGGCAACGATTAGATAATTCTATTCTTTAAATGATATAAATTTTGTGCATTATGAGTTATAATATGAACAAAAAATATAAGTGTTATATAATTATTGGATTATACAACAGTTGACTTAGTTTCCGTTATATAATTATTATATAAGTTAACTGCTATATAATTATTAGTTAAGTGAATCTAGCGCCAGTGTCGCTATTGTAAGCAAATACTAGAGTGAATTTTAAAGAATGCATTTATTCTATTGTGGTTTATGCGCTGTCGGCGAAGTAGATTTAATTCAATCCAATAAGTTTAAATGAAATGCAAGAAAAAATGCGTATAATTTAATATTCCAATTTAATATTCCAATACATGGAAGTCATGTGGTGTACACATCAGATTTTTTATTATTTAATCTGGGGATTCTTTCACTTAATTTCTTTTCTTACACTTGAATATATCGAGTTCTTGTGTTAACTTTTGATTTCTTTTGAATATTTTTTCTCTCCTGCTTAATTATCGAATTCTAATTGATCCAAGAAAAAGCATATTTCCCCTTTTATATATATATATATATATATATATATACTTATATATATATATATATTATATATATATATATATATACTTATATATACATACACTCGTGTGTATATATCATTTTTAGAATTAATTCACGAGAAAATTTTAAAACAACTCATTCGCCATTTATAATATTCGAACTAAATCAGGGAAAAGAGGTAGACCTTTTTCTAAATGTTATTATTAAATAAAATTAAGTAAACATTTTTCTGTAAAACTTGTTGTATTATTTATATGAATAATCTGTACTCTATTTGTATTGTTTCTGAAACTTATTATGTGTGTGGAGCGAGGAAAAAATTCCGAAGTTTATCTTTTGTCATGCAATCCTGAAAAAGATTACGACGCCATTCTAAAATGTTTCCGCCATTCTGACGCCTAATAAAACACGAAACGAGTCTAACCTGCAGTTGGAATAACCAAACCTAAAGTAATACTACCTTTTGATCCTTTGACCTACAAACTACGCTACTCTTAAAAGTGTCAGGCCGCACACTTGATTAGAAGCACAACAAAGAAATCACGCCAACTGCGTGATCTCCAAACCATCGTAGGTTTACCAACTATGGGCGGTGGCTCTCCACGAATCTGAGCACGAATTTTGCTCTATAAAACCGGAAGTCTAGTATTTTCCCAGCATGCAGGGACAATTTGTCTTCTGTCGTTCTGTGAGTCGCGATTTCGTCGTGCGGGGGTAGAAAATGTCAGGATACAACCCTTTGGAGACTCGAAACTTTGAATCACGTTGTTTAGAAGTTAATCACCTTAATATGCAATTCGTTTTGAGCCATTTTCAGATGTTTTGTAATCATTTTTCTAATTAGATCAAGTTCTGAAAACGATTTTGTTTAGTGATTGTTTTTAATTTCTTCGCTTACTTTCCTGTTCTGTTGCAAAATGGTTGGTATAGAATTAATTTACATCCTATTTGGATTATCGTTAACTTACCGAAAATTTACTCTATTTTAAAAGGAAATTTAGGAATTATTTATCAAATATTTGGATTAATATTTGAACGATTATTTTAAACTAATTGTTGTATGTTTTCTCGTCTTTTGCTCCTGCTAGAAATGTTGTTCTGCTAGTTATGCGTAGAAAATAATTGCAATGAAATCTAAGATTTAAAGAAGTCGTATCTATATATTGTTGCGTGCGTACGGGTTCGTTATGAAATAAATGCACAAGTCCGATGAAACATGAACAAAAATTTATTATTGTCACAACAAAAATGCTTAAATTTTCTCAAATTATCATGCATTATTACAATATCTCACAGTAGTTATGTTTTAACTACTCAAATGTCCAATATAACGTAATTCAAAACAGCTAAAGAACGCTAATCCGCGAATTCGCTACAATCAACAAAAGCAGTTTTCTAAACAACAAACTAAGCAACTACTACAAATTGAGATGTTTTCCTCCTTTTATAAGATTTTTAAATCACGCGCTAGAATTTTCCAGTAATTTCTCGAAATCAAAAAGAGATATTTATTTATTTAATGCACGCGCTCTTGTATTTTCAATTTTTCGGCTTAGCTTTCTTTTAATATTCGTCACGCGCTGCACTGCGCAAGAAATAAAACCATTTAATTTATAATTGAACTAACATTAGCTTTTTAAATACCAAATTCGTAACAATATTAACTCATAAACATCACACTGAAGAAAAGCAGTGATTATAAAACCGTTTCTGCTAGTGACAATAAACATTCAGAGAAGGCGCGACTTTCAATAATATATATATATATTTCTTATGTGTCTAGAAACTATTTAAGGCCTTTTTCCGTACACAGAAATTGCAGCAATCTCATGTTGACCTTTGAAGGATTGTAGAGTTTATTTTCATATATTTTTAGCTTTTAACCCCCGGTTTGTATATCTGAGTCTTTACTAAAGAGATGAAAGATAATTCATGATCGACTGTGAACTCTACGACTTCTCCAAAATCGCTTTCTTTTGCGGGAGGGGGAAGGTTATGGAAGGAATTGAGACGTAGTCTTCATTAGATGTCGTTTTGTAACTGTTAACACATAGATCTGAAACGCCGATGACTCGGTAATTTGACTTCATGCATGGGCACGGATATTCTACTTTAAAAATCCCGTTGTTCTGTATTAGATGATATATCTGTAACAAACAATAGTAAAGTTCGGATATGTGTTTTGTGCAACTGCACCTTTTTCGTAAACTGGAATAGATGAAATACTACTGTGTGCATAAATCCAGGCCCACCCTTTTTTTTGCGTGTTTGTAAATTACGTATTTTACTGCTTATGGTACTTTCGTTTCAAAATAAATTGTAATACCGGCATTCTTTATAATTTTCAATATTATCACTGCAATTTATGTGACCATTACATTTGTTGTTCTCTTCATACGAAGAATCTTCATCAGTTTAAAATTCTGTCTGTAAATTTCCCATGTTCCATCTTCTTTGTTCTCATAAGGCCAGCGCATCATGGGCAGAAGTCACAAGAAAACGAAAAGGTATTTTTTAAAAACGAATTTCTGAAAAGGATGTGTAACAGGAATTAAACATTGCTTAGCCAAAATAATAATAATATAAATAATATAAGCAGCGAACAAGCAATACTAATTATAGAATAGAATACGCGAATTATAGAATATAATCTGCATGTTTAATATTGTAACATTATTGTTAAATTTCTAATTAGTTACTTGTTACTTTTGCAAAGAAGTTCAAATTAGCTAAAACGAAGTTAGAGAAAGATCACACACACACATTAGAGAAAATTTAAATACGTATTAAATATAATTGGCAACTCTGAAATTGACTTGCATTGAAAAGAATTGTTATTGTGATTATACGATCCCACTTTCTCTGCTAGTTGAATAAGAGAGAATACTGTTGGCGGGAAGTTATAAATCCTTAACTGATAGTCATATGTTATACTAGGCCAAGCGCTCATAATCTTAAATCCAATTAAATAGTAAATTTGAGTTTTTAGGAGCAATTTATATTATCCAACAGAGTTGGTATTTAATTTATCTAATTTTGCTCAGTTGTTAGGCGATAAATCACCAACTTATAACATTACATAACAGGCTGTTGGCATAAGTGCTTAAGAAAGCAGAGCAAACTACATAGTTAGTTGATGGATTATGAAAAAATATTAGAAAATCTAAGGAGAGGACAATTTCGTGGAGGATATTATCAGGAAAACATTCACGCGATAGGTTAATTCTATAATAGGAGAAGATCAAGGATTTCAAACATGCACTTTTTGTAACAAAGGAAAAACGATAATGGCTAACAAAACTATAGTAATTTCGAATAAAGAATAAAAGTAGAAATAAAAACTAAATTCAGCCACAAAAATAAAAGTTTATAATGAACGGATTTCCCAGCAGTTTTTTTTTTTTTTTTTTTTTTTTTTTTTTTAATGAACGGATTTCCCAGCAGTTTTTTTTTTTTTTTTTTTTCTTTTTTCAGATTAGGCTCTTGTGTCCTCACGCGGTCTTCGCGGCCTAATTACAGAAATGAAAAGTTTTACTAAATAACACATATTAATGAGGAAAGAAAAATGTACTTCTGCGTGAGTAAATTTAATTTATTTAATTGACGTCCATGTAACTGTGGGGAAGATATTATAGTATTAATCACAATTATCTATTCATGCATGACGAAATTAATGAGCTTCTAGAACATGAAACATAAATTAAAGTTCATTGTTATTAACAAATTTTTATTCATCATCCTTTAATAGTTTTTAGAATGGAATTTATTTTGCCCTTTTGCTACACAATTGATTAAATTTTCTATGCAACATGTTTATAAATCCCCTACAGAAACTAGGCATCAAGAAAATACGCAAATTTTACTTATGTCGATTTCAGAATTTATATAAAATTTGCAAATAAAAGCTTGCTTACACAAATGTGTGTGTATGTGTGTGTGCATTTAATTATGGCAAAGCACACTAGGGCTATCTGCCTAAGGGGAGGGATGCCTTCGTGGAGGACTTTCTAAGGAAAATGGCTCGTATACACGTTACACATGAGGAAAACCACGAAAACACTCGTGCAGCCAGCCCATTCGCGGGATTCGAACCTCGGACCGAACTACCAGTGTTCAGCGACTTTACCGCTTGGCCGCTGGCGTACTGCTTACACAAATGAAATACTTTTAAACAGCATTTCATCATTGAATTTAAAAAATATTGTAAGAAAGATAATAATTTTAATTGCATTTACGTAAGAATTTCAGTTAAAAAGTTTGCATATTTAATTGCTTTGTGTTTTTAATCTGTCTATTTACATGAAAATGTATATGCAGAAATGCTATGGAAAACTTCAGACGGAATTATTAATTTCATTACTTGCATAAATATTTACAAAATTCATACTGAAAACAACAGGTATTAAATTACTTTCTGTGCTCTTGATGGCGATTATGGCAGTGACAATGGAAGATAAGTTACAGGTAAAAATAAGAAAAAAATTGTCTTTTATAAATTATAAGCTTTTGTATAAAACTCATAAAGTCACACAAATAATAATAGAAATAATAGAAATAGAGCGCCTTTGATATATTCAAAAAAATAAATAGCTTATACTTTTAACAATGCAATTAGATAATTGTATATCGTTATTTAACTCACGCTTTCATTAACCCTAAAATAAGGAATTTGTAAAGGAAGTTTTTCGATCTCTTGTTCCCATTGAAATGGTATGATAAATTATTTTTCTTCTTTTAAGTAATTATTTTATGTATTCTACATTAAATCTGATTTTATAAAAACATACTTTTACCTTATTTTCATAATTTTGATCTCAATAACACGTTGTTAATTAAATTATGCAAATGAAAATAGTTTTTTCAAGTACAGAAAATTATTCTATTATGTCAAATGGCTCATGAAATCAAACGATTTTTGTAAATTTGCCAAAAATTTAGAAATGACGTTAAAAAAGCCATTCAAACTTAATTTAGAAGATTTTATTTCCGCTCTGTTCTAGGGTACAAACAATAAAATTAAGTGAGTTTTAGTTATTTATTAAATGAAGCTATATGCAAAAAATTGATTTAACATTAAATTTTAAAGAATTTGAGAAAAATGTATATTAATCTATGAAATGGGAAAAAATTTAAACGACAAGGTAAATTTCATTGCAAATAATTCTAAGAGCTAATCAATCGTTAAGCTGTGTTATTTTTGAGATGTGAATAGATATAGAATCATGTTACGTAATGACATCATAATTTTGACAGTAATATGTTTTCAAATGATGCGACGTCCAAAAGAACCGAACTTCTATCCCCTTTTGCTTGAGACGGAAGCATATTTTTAAATAAGTTTAGAAAATCTGCCAGTTGTAGCTTTTTGAAATTTTTGCTTTAAAAGTGGGCGAAGTGTTTGTTTTAAAATCTGTGGACTTCAAAATGTTATATTCTATACAATTTTAGATGTTGAAATGTTAAAATGAAAGATTTCAAATAGTCAAAAAAGCATTTTTTCCGCTCTGCTTGTAGTTGCAAACATTAAAATTATGATATTTTTAATTTGTTCGTTAAACGAAGATATGTACAAAGCAAAGTTTAAACATTAAATAAAAAAATCTAAATAGAATTTTGAAAGCAGCGCTTCACCACCACTGCACTGTGAGTGATAAACAGTGTGCGTACAAAATCTGAACTCGGTATCTTATCAGGAGGTAGGTTAAAATTCGATAATAAAATTCCGACCATGGTCAAATACCACGAGTGAACTAAATAAAAGCGTTTAAAAGAAATTAAGTCTCCATACTTTCATCTTTTGGAGCTAACAAAGTTAGATTAAAATAATCAGTTAAAGAACTGAATACACTCAATTATATTGCCACACTGTGAATCTTTGTCAAGCTAATCTCAACGAGGACTTCCCAGAATTTGAATATCCTGTAAATTCTCATTTTTTCCAAATCAGATGCTAAATTCACATTTAATCACGATTATAGAAAGCTTGTATTGTTTATCGAAAATGTTTTGATAAAATTAATGTTAATTAACTGTAAGAAATCATTCCCCTTCTATGATTACTGTAGTTTTCGTGTCTTCAAAATATTAATTAATATACTACTTCAACTGTCGTGTTTTGCCTTCTACAAAAATATTACAAAACAATATTTTTATCAAATCTAACAGTTGGCTGTTGGTCAGTATCATTCATGGGAAGAATGATTTAAGCAGCACAGAAACATATTAACTACTTAGTTGTTACCAAAAGATATTAAATACATCTAAGAAATATGTTATTTTATGGAATGACTTATCATTCATATAATGCCAGATTTGCTGGCCGATGTACTGTCGAAAAGATCTCTAAACCCATCGAACCTAGAAATAGGAGACTTCATATGTGAAGAGCGCATGGTTTTCTGTATGAATGCAGGAATTTACTATCAATCGAAAATTCCGTTGCATGCTGTTACAATGAAGAGACTGAAAAAAAATCTGAAAGCCACATGATTTATATTTCTTATTTAATCAGTTAGGCCAAAACACATACCTGCATAGATATGCTTTCTTGTAGAACGTTTTGAAAGGAAACTGAGTTGTATCATTACACATGGAAAAAAACAACCAAAACTCCCTTGCAGTCAAGCGGTTCTTCCGGATTTAAATTGGAAGAAACTAGCTGTATTCAAAACCACAAATAGACACATAAGACTTAAGAATATTTTGTATTTGACTCTGATTTATATGGATACTGTGGGTTTCCTTGTAAAATAAACTAAGAAATCGGAATTTCATCAGTTTTTCGAGCAGCAGTTTATATGTGGGAGTTACGATGAATTTTTTGCAATATTGTCTTAGGGCTGTCGTAATAAAGAAACGAGATTCGTTGCAATGAGGCAGAATAACCAGTTATTACATCTCATCGTGCAACAGCTTTGTAGCTGGTCAAAGAATCCGTCGGTAAAGGTGTCATAATTTAATAAATAAAAAACTTCTTTATTTGAATGTTCTACAGTGTAAGCAGACATAATGATAATCTTATTCAATAGAGTGAATCACTTCATGGCGATTATCGCTCTCTGAAGTGATCAGTATATCTGAAAAAATAAATAGGCAACATTTCTCTTAGACGACTGTTGTCATCAATCGAATCGTAGGCGGTTGTCTTAGATAAGGTTCAGTGCAACTAATTTTTAATGAAATCGGACAAATAGATCTATAATCAACATCTATAATCAACATGATTTGTCTAACACAACCATCTCCACAGAAAATCAGACTCGTCGGAAATTATGGTGGTTGTGTTAGAGAGAGAGTTTAGTATAATTCTAATTTTAGGCTGTTGCGTAAAACTGGTATTGAATATGTACCTTAGGCATTTCATAGGCTGTGCAGTTTCTTACTCTATAGAATTTGACGAATACTTTTAAATTATGATTTCTATTAATTTTGAAACATTCTCGTGTTTTGTAAAACAATAACCATTTTTATGAATTTTAAATTGTAATTTTCATATTGTTAAGGATCATTATGGAATTAATCATTTCCA